CCTCGCAGATGCCATTTTGCAGCCCAGGGCATGATTCCATGATCTGTTTATGTGCTTGTGTGCTTTATCAACATCTGTGAGATCCTTGGGCAGGAGTTACAGAATGTAAAGGTGAAGCTCCTCTCTTAGAAGGCCCACTGGCTTCCTTCCATTCTAGTAGCAGCAGAGAGAAAGGTACTAGGGGAGTCATGTGAGTCCTGCTTAGAGTCAGCTAGCTGCCAGTCAGACCTGTTCTGAAGGCTTAGCTTTTTTTGTCAGTCATTTCTCTTGGACCTTGGTGGCATTTTCCTCCTATTGATGGTGTGAACGTAACATTTATAAGGGTGACTTACTATAATGTAGTCCCCGTAGTCCTTTAAAATTATAGGCCTTAACATGGTTCCCCTTCTTTCAGTCTTTGGAGCAGTAAACATTATCCCTTCTTTCAGGGAGGCACTTTCCATCAGGAGGGAGGTTGGTGAGTCACCCCCTGCAGGGAACCTGCTTGCAGTGTTCTTTCACCTTGCTTCAGTTAAAGGCTTGTCGTTCTGATCCTTTTTTCCTGCAGCCTTCCGTTTTGATGCTCTCTGTGCCGAAGGATTGAATAGCTATCCCCCTGGCAAGAGATGGAGTGGTTGCCCCGTTCTCTTCTGAGGCTGATAGGCGTCTCAAGTAAGAAAGGACAGTGCTACACAGTTTGCTCTCTCCGTTCTCTTTGCCCTTGTTTTTTTGACTGTCGCCATATGAACTGTCCTTATTCTTGGCTTAGCCTGCGTTCCCCCCACCCCACCCCCTCCCCGAGAGAAGTGACAGTCTGTTGTGAAATAGTCACAGCTTGTCGAGCTGTAAACTTCATCTAGGACATCCTAACAAAAATAATTGCCCTTACCTAGTAATGCTTTTGAGTCATTTATCTTAGAGTACAGTGAACCTAGCTGAAAGGGTAGCTATAACTGGAGGCTATAGTAAGTATAGTAGAGACAAGGATTTGTTAGAAGCAAAAGAGCTTCCCTGGAAAAACACTATGTGTTTGCAAAGGTTAAAGAAGAGCAGAGGTTTCTTACTATTCTTAACTTAGCGTCTGTAGTCAGTATAAAAGATGACTCCTTTTCTCTTTACAGGCTGAGATTTCTAGACTTCCGCTAATGAAAAAGAGGGTTGGACGCTTGTAGCAATGCCTTCACACTGTGAAAAAGCCTGTCTTTCTGGAAATTGGACTCCTTTTAGAAAATGTGTTACTAAACATTTAAAGAAACTGAGAAGATACATATTTCTGTTTTGAAAGTAAATATATCCATTAGTTTTCTTTAATTCAAAGGAGAATTCAAAAGATGTTAATTAATACCCATAATCAGTTCAGCCTATGACAGGACCTCTGTTCCTGAACAATCCCAACCATTGTATTTAAACAGGAAGAAGGAGTAAGCTTTTCCAAAAGGCAACATGTACGATTGAACCTGGGCCCTTCCTTAGTGGCCCCTTGCTGTTATTCCCCCCAAATGTTTCTTGCGTTACAGATTTGGTGTCTAATCTTACTTTGCTGTGCAGGCTGAACAAATGTCAGGATTTCCTGATGATCCCTCTGCCTGTGATTTTGCCCTTGTAAGTAGTCTGATTGCAGGAAATGGCGGTCGTGCAGGGCGGGGGTCACAGCACACAGTGATTGAAACCCGCATGTATCATTCACTGGCTGATTGAAGTCATCACACAGATGAAAAGCTTGTTAGCTATGCTGACGGGGGTGCAGTTTCTCATCATTCAAGTTCAAGG